AAATCTAGTTTAAAGTGGAATAGGATAGTGCTATTGTGCCTTAATCGAAGATTAAAACGCGAAATTATACGAATCTCGAACTAAAATACCCGTATCGGCCCGTTTTAAGGAATCCCGAGTCAATCCAAACACGCCGCCTCAAATTGCCTATCCTCTTTGTGGCGACCATATTTACAGAAACATATTTAAACTTTATGTTTAGGCTTGTGGCTTTACCAAAGCCTTAATAAAAAAAAATAAAAAAAATATCAAAGTGACATTGACATTGGCAACAGGCTTCTTGTCAAAACGTTCCTTTGCTAACTATCGTATCTCTCATTTAAATACTGTCTAAACATTTTTGTCACATTATGTTTTATTTTTTACTTTATATCATTATTGTTTAATTGACTATTTGATTACGTATTTTATAGCTTAATGTTTTATATGTGTACTATAAAATAACCAATACTTTAGGTAGATAAGCATTCAGTCTTGCTAAAAAGAAACGTACGTACAAAAACGTTACCTAATCTATGGTCGAACATAAGGTATATGTAGGTACATATTTTTAAAATAATTTAGTACTCACCTTGACATTTTTATTAATAAACTTGACTGTAGTTGTGCTACCAAAGCTCAACTTAATACCAAAGGGGAAACCAGTAGAAGATTCAAAGGGCTTCAAAGAACTACTCGCGTATCTCCATCCTGTACTTAACAGCTGCCCATTTCTTTCAGCACACAATTTCTGCGCTTGATGCCAGGTCACCCCATCATTTCTTCCATTAGTAGGAGTCACTAATGACAAGCAAGTAGATTTCGGACTCCAGAACCTCCAGTAATTGAAGTCCCGCAAATCCTCACACCCATCTCTGCTCATGTCTTCGTTTCTTTTGAAAGCTGTTATAAAACAGTACCTGTAATGCTTTTCATTACAGTTTACAAGTAAATTATTACTAAGAACACACACTTCCCCATCTAATTTTGAAAATGATTCAGTGTATAAGCTTTTCAATCCCTCTTTAATATGACCCATAAACCTGTTGTATGACCATTGTATAAATGGTCCTCCGCTGAAAAAAGATTTGTTATCAGTCCATACTGCATTAACTCGATCTTCTTCTGTAATGTTTGCATGATTGTACCAATCGATGGTAAATAAGTTCCCTGGGCAATCTGTGAATTTGTCGTAAAAAGTTTCAGGCCCTTTTCTTTTATAGCAGATGGGTTTTTCGTTTGGGAATGTTTTATGTCCTGATGTTTTATAGTACGCGAGGCTGAAACCGATGGGGCAGCCAAATTCTGGAATGGCCATCGACATCTTTACGCAAACGACTAGTAACAACGCTTGAATGATGCTCTTATGTAGAATCATCACAACATCTGAAACAAGAAACTTCCATTTTATTAACGAATCATCTTGACTAATATTATTTTTCACCTCACACACACGGAAATGTTTTCTTTCTCATTAAAAATTTGCGCGCAAAAGCATTTTTTCCAAGCTAGCATGGAAAAGGTTTTTGAAATCCGAACTTAACTACGGACTGCGATCGATGAAAAAAAAAACATAATGACACGTTCGACACATATAAATCCGTTGGTATATTTTATTCTTATTATTGTAGACATTAAATTGACAACGATAACTAATTTTGTAAACTGATTTGTTTTATACGCAGCCGTATATGCAGCCGTAGACGCATACCACACCTAGAGGTCCCGGTGACGATTTTATACCGATTTATCGGATATCGAAGTTATAACAGGTATAAGAATTAATATTAATTGCTATTTCGGTAACTACTCTAGCAAACCATAAAGTTTTTAATGCCTGGGTCTGTCATTTAAAAAAAATAAACAACTTCAAAAATACATCACGACAATCGTGTGTGTTATTGTTTGGGTTGATGATGTCGGTGTTTATTTATTGAAAACATACCGTAAGTAGCGTTTTTTAAGTTTACCCTGAACCCTGAATATAAATCTTTATAAACTATACTTTAAGAAGTAATTTCATGGTAAACGTTAGAACCACTCAAACGGAATATTATCATATTTATCCAAGTACACAAAAAAATTTCATTAGTGCTTTTTAAAAGTGTAGGATTTGCGGTGTATTACTGCATTTTATTTGAGATGTTTTTGTTAGTAGTACGGAGGGTATGGTATGGTAGGTGGATAATTTTTATTTATAAAAAAAATTATATAAACTGAATGCTTTTCTAATTTGTGAAACCAAATAACCGCCATTTTGCGGTAGGAGGAGCGCATCGCGTGAGCGGATAATTCAACTGTTTTCCTTTCATCTACCATTTTCCTCGCTATAGTGAGGTCAAAAGTTATGTGTTTCGCTCGGCAGCAAAGTTGTTTTGCGTCTCGTGTCTTGAAACCGAGCTACACTCGCTTCGCACGTTGTTCAATCTTCGACTGCTTGGCTTTCTCAAGTTTCAATAGAAGCACTCGCGTCAAAGCCTTCCGTAACAATTAACTATTCTGTATATGTCACGTGGTTAAATACCTGAATATAACAACATCACATAGGTTGCTCCGATCCCAAAGTAACAAAAGCGCTTATGTTACGAAAATCGGAAGCAATGACAGTACCACAAACACCCAAACCCGATACATTACAAAAAAGTGGTTTTCTATATTGAACCGGCCGGGGATCGAACCAGGGACCGCAGAGATGGCGACACTATGAAAATCGATGTACAAGCCACTCCACCACCGAGGTACTCAAATATTAGAAAAGAAATAATAATAACGCACACACTCATAGCCCCTCAGGGCAACCCTGTATCGCGGGTGCCATGGACAAACACATAGAAAACCACAAATGACACCCAAACTCACGAGAGAAAGAAATGTAGGCTCGAACCCGGGATCTCTGCGTGGCAGTCCAGCATGGTAACGTTCGACCACCGAGGCAGTTAGGAGGCATTATATATAACATCCGCAGATGGTTTTTACATCCTTTTTAAGAGGGAGCAGAGGAAAAATTCCTAATCTTCTATTTGATTTTAGAGGGGTATATTCACTTTAAAGTTAAAAATAAAATATTGTATGAGTAACTACACGATATATTCAAGCATAGACACTAATCAGAAACATAAAACAATAAAGTTTCCTCGATAGATAAAAATCACGAAATGACCTCTAATTTTCAAATTTTTTCGATTCATCCTCGAAATGCTACAGGTTATTAGGACAAACATTAGATAATTAATTATATTTATGCATGATCGAGAACTGTCACTACGGATTTTTTTTTAATCCCCTTAGTTTTAGAGTTATTCCGCTAAAACAAATTTGGTACTTTTAATGCGCAAAATTCAACATCTCCTGTCGCATGTCACGCGAACTTCAGACATATATTTGTCTCACAAATGTGGGCGGAGCCAACGTCAAAACTTTTTTGGCTTGCTCCCTCTTAAGCATCCCAACAATAACAATAGCACCTGCAATGAAATAATGGAAAACATACAACGCAGTAAAAGATTGGTTGCTAGACCACAATTTAGAAACAAACAACAAAATAAACACACAACTCAAACCGCGACAAAAACAACTTAATTTAAATCTTTTAAAAATGCCCTCAAGAACGAAGAAGTCAATCACTAGATTAAGAATAGAACACTAAAACAAACACTAGACACTCACCGTAATGGGAAAACCCCATAGATTTAGTATGTGACCCACCCACATTGGAAATGTAAAATTTGAACTTTCACATTTTTATTTACACATTAAAATTCTAAAATCAAACGCAAAGATAGAGTGCGCTCTAACTGCTTTTTAGGTATATGCGTACGCATGGCTCCGGCGGAATTATGTTTTGGAGGCCATAGCACCGACGCAAATGATCTCTTCATAATTAAAAAAGAATTACATTTATAAAGAGTCCTGCAGACCACGTTTTACAAACCTAGAAGTACTTACTCTACCTTCAATATACGTTCTTGAAACTGTAATGTTCGTGAAAAAGCACCCTTTTGACCATTTTGATTGTGATCAATGCAAATACAAATTATCGGGTATGTATACTCTGATCGCACGAGTTTGTAGAGGAAACGCATAACGTTCAATGTGTATACTTTGATCACGATATCAGTTCCACCTGCCCGATTGAAGTTCGATTTGTCGCAACAGATCGCGAGATCTGATTTTACCAAAAAATATTTCAAATAGGTTCCCAACAGATCACAATATATTTTAATATGGTTTCAAAAAAAAAGACAAATAAACAATTTAAAATAATCAATATAACTATATTAACAACAATATTTCTTTGTATTATAAAAAAATACAGATCTTATCAATAACTATGCCAAACTGCTTATAAATTTGTAACAAAACCTCTTAAATATAATAAAAATAATCATACTATTGTGTTATTATTGTATTCAAGATGTTTTGTAGCGAATTTATAAACACAATTTATGATCTACATGTTTATTTCTATGATATAAACAAATATTAAACCGTGATCAAACTATATACACTGAAGTTTATGAGTGTCCACTACCAACCGATCGTACGATCAGAGTATACATACCCAAATTATCTCATCATACCCGGGCTGTACCGGTGTATAATAAAATACCAGATATATTAAAAACTGATGACAAATATGTCACATTTAAAAACAAACTAAACGTATTACCGGCCTCTAACAGATACTACTCAATATAAAGTTCTTGTCAGATAGAGAGCAATAAGAAAAATAAATGTTCTGTCCATGTTCTGTCACTCGTAACTTCTGAAACTTATTTATTACTGTATATTAATGATTATTTTTTTTGTAGAAGAAGGAAATAGCCTACTTTTTGTCACAAAAATAAATCAGAAGAAGGGTGAAATTGGTGATGAAAGTTTGTATATAGAACCAATGAAACTACGAAAATTAGTTTACTACAGTAGCGACGAAGTCACGGGAACCGGCTAATAGAATATATATTTATTTTTTAAGATTAGACAAGTCAATGTATACCACTTATATATTGCAACATCCTAACAGGGTCTATGTACGAGACACATTCCTCTGTGCTATCCATGATGCAATTGTTAGATTTATGATTAGAATGTAATGATTAATTTATAATTGTTATCAATTCAGAGTAAATTCAATGAATGACTGAGAGACTTCAAGAAAAAAAGAAAAAAGGAAAGCGGGAAAGCGGGAATGTTTTGGAGCTGGGCTGTTTTTTTGTACTGGGCCCTCGTACTTTTGATAAAAATAATAAATTTTCTGGCTATCAAGTCTCTCACCGCTTCCAGGATTTGAACTGAACATTTAGAATAAATGCATTGGCTTGAAGTACTGAAAACCTTAGAATAATAACGCATAGAATGATTTACATATCAAACGAACTGTCACAAGTGAGGCAAAAATCAAATTCATGTAGGCTAGTTTTAGTAGTAGGTTAATTTTCGGTTTTAGTGAATATTTATATAAAAATACAAGTTGAAACGCGTTACTATCTTGTGGAATGTGATGTTAGTATCTATTTTATGTTTGTCTGACGTATTTTTACACTCATTTACCGCACATTTCGTCATTTTTAGCTAAAATTCATGATCTGTTCGCGGTGCAAGTTGACCTTGAGCTTGAAGGCCCGCCCACTCGTGTAGGCCCTTTTGGCGCGCTTCAATTTGCCTCACTTAGCGTGTGCGGACTAGATTTCTATGCGTTATTATTCTAAGCTGAAAACATTATTTTCTCAAACATGCTCGGAAATGTTTACATTACTTTCAAAAAACGAACACGGTAAGTTTATCATTTATGTACGGTGCGACTTCTCTCCGGCCAAGGCCTGCTAAGTAAAAATGAAAATCCATTACTGTCCACTTCTATAAAACTTTTAAATCTACTAATAATTAACTAAAATTAGGTAAAAGAAAAACACCTTATAACAAAAACAAATAAAAACACCTCAAACAACTCATACAGCCAACTGCCACGTGTTCATATTTGCATCGTTTTTTTCTTTTAATTATAAATTAAAATAAAGTACATTTTTGTACTGTTTTTTTTTTCCATTGGAAAAGGCAAAGGCACTAATGCGCCATTCAGCCAGACTGAGAGTAATTTCTTTCTTGGATTCCATTACAAAATATCTTTGGGTAGCATTGACTTACAAATAAATGGACGACGGGTCTAATACAAAAACCACGAAAAAAATGTCCCAAGTCAACCTATTCGAAATTTAAATTGTTATGTCATCGCAGTATCGCGCTGTCCGTAGAACAAATGAAGACTAAAGCGGAGTGTCGCGCTCTGTATACGAT